TTCTTATCCAATCAGCTACTCTGTGTCTTTGTATGGGAGCATTCAATGCATTTACATTTAAGGTGATTATTGATATGTACTTATTTATTGCCATTTTTGTTTAGTGTGATTCTATTTTTCTTCCCATTTCTCCTGCTAATTACAGCAGTCCTTTTACCATTTCTTGCAAAGCTGGTTTGGTGCTAATGTATTCCCTTAGCCTTTTTTTGTCTGGGAAGCTCTTTATTTGACCTTCTATTTTGAATGATAGCCTTGCTGGGTAGAGTAGTCTTGGATCCAGATTCTTGTTTTTCATGACTTTGATTACTTCATGCCATTCCCTTCTGGCCTGTAGTGTTTCTTGTGGGATGTCAGCTGAGAGCCTTATGGAGTTTCCTTTGTAGGTAACCTGTTGCTTATCTCTTGCTGCTTTTAGGATTCTCTCTTTGTCTTTAATATGTGGCATTTTAATTACTATGTGTCTTGGTGTGGGCCTGTTTGGGTTCTTCTTACTTGGGACTCTCTCTGCTTCTTGAACTTGAATGCCTTCTTCCTTCACCAAATTAGGGAAGTTTTCTGTCACTATTTTTTTGAATATATTCTCTATCCCTTGCTCATTTTCTTCTTCTTCGGGGACTCCTATGTTGCGAAGATTATTACGTTTCCAGTTGTCCCACAGTTCTCTTAAGCTGTCTTCCTGTTTTTTAATCGTTTTTTCCTTTTGTTTTTCTGATTGGTTGATTTTCTCTACCCTGTCTTCTAATTCACTGATCCGGTCCTCAGCTTCCTCTACTCTGCTTTTTAAACCTTCCAATGTGTTTTTCATTTCTGATATGTCATTTTTTATCTCTTCTTGATGGTTTTTAATTTCCAGTTGGCTTATTTTCAGTGTCTCTATGTCCTTACTCATGCTGTTGAGCTTCCTCAAGATCATGGCTCTGAATTCTAGCTCTGTTAACATGCCTAATTGCTCCACATTGATCTCATCTTCAGTGGAGGTCTCTTGCTCTTTCATTTGGCTTCTGTTTCTGTGTTTCACCATTTTGGCTATCACTGTGGGCTTTGGAGCCTGTCAAGTTTTCCCTGTGGGTGTTGGTGTTCTGCTGTTTGTGGCTCCCTCTCCTATGTTTATATGAGCGAAGGAGGACCCACGTTAAACACCACTGTCAAGTCTTGCTGTCCTGGTTAAAGTTGCCAGCCCAGGAAAGGTACTGTTATCCTCTAGCTTTTTGCCTGGAGGCTAGCAGTCGAGGTTACTTGATGAGTTTTGGGTTGTCAGTTGATTGAAAAACTCCCTCAGGTGCTCAGCACAAGGGGCTTTCACAGAGGTGGGGCAGATGCTGGTTGTTAATGAACTTTAATTAGCACTTCAATGGCCCACAGGGTGGGGTTGGATCTCGGAGCCAGGCACTGCTGCCTCTCCCCAGAGCCCTGGGAAGGAGCAATATGCCCACCGTCCTGCGTGGCTGCACTCAGCAAACGCTCTGAGCGCCCTCCAAATCCCGAGTGTCCCAACACAGTCCCAGTCCAGTCTGCCCCCCTCTGCCGGAGCCCAAGGTGAGTGGCTGTGGCTGTTGTAGCCTCTGTCCCGGCTGCGCTGTGGGGCCGCCTGGGAGTGTGACCCGAGGGCACTGCTCCCAGCTAAGGCCGCTGCCGAGCTGCTGACCGTGGGCTCCCAGCCCCTGTCTCACGCCTTCGCAAGCCTACCGGGATGGAGTCAGTGTCCCTCGTTATATGGTCCTCGCAAGCTGCTTTTCTGTTGCTTTTTCCCATCAATTTGTCTGTGTTATAGTTGTAATTCCAGTTTGGTTCTGGGAGACGGTCTGTGTAGCTTCCCTTCACTCCGCCGCCATTTTTGCATCCCCCGAAACTCCATTTCTTTAGCATGACCTTTTCTAATTCCTGTCTATCCACTCCTTTCTTTAATCATTAAGCCTTTAGGATGTCAGATCCTGGTCAGTGTCAAATTGGCTTAAGAAAACAGCCTGAAGTCTGTTGACCAGAGAATGTTAGTCAAGCTAAACATAACACCTGGACCTCAGTTGAGTGTCAGCCCCATGGAAGCAGGAAGACCTTAGGAACCACACCCTCATGAAACCAGACAGAATGATGCCATGGCTGACATCAGGACCTGATACAGTGATCAGGGACCTCTTATCCTGCCCCCAACCGATCAGCAGAACCCACAACCCCAAATCCTTTAGCCGCCATGATTAATCATGTTCCCCTATATAACCCATCCCCTGGAAGCCTTTGGGAAGCCAGAACTTTGGGCATTCATTTACCTGTGACTGTGGGCTTGGTATCATTTCCTCAACTAATAAACCTCCACTTTCTTTGCTAAAACTCCTGGTCCGGCTTGATTGGGCTTTGTTGCATGTAGGAGAATGGACCCTTTTAGTCCGGTAACACATTTGGGTATTCTGGGTCCACTGATGTTGGAGAGGGAGACATCACTCCCTTTCAGAATTAGTTTTCCAAATACTTAAACATTAATTAAAGTGTTTTGAAAATAGGTCTATTAAGCACCAATTGTTAGTTCAGCTTGTTACCTTGAGTGCCCTAATTACAGAGCTCTTGCATCAGGTTCTGGTATATGATCAGTTGCAGCTTGAAGCTGAGATTCCTAGAGGAGAGAGGGAACCTACCGAAGTCAGGCCTTCGCCTCCTCCGGGGCCGCGCAGTCAGGGCCATCCCTCCGGCAGGGACAGGGAAGCAAGGCTGTCTTCCTTGATAGAAGTCGGTTACCGATGCCCTGCTGCTCGCAGGGACTGACTCACAGATTTCATGTGAAACCATGGAAGTTTAGGGAGAGCCAGAGACTCAGAAACCTTTTTCCTTAGCAGGAAAAATATCATCATCTCATCTGGGTTTTTATTAACAATTGGCCACAAAGATGATTTCTCTCTTGGTTTTTATTAATTTTAAGCATTTTCTCTGAAGCATCATCGACATGAGAATTGGTGTTGAATATAACTTTAATTTTATTAACTTTTGAAGTAGGTGAAGTAATGCTTCCAAGCTTTTCATTAAATGGTTAAGCCTTGGTTCATCCCCATTGCTCAACAAAAGTCACCAGGGTCAGGATAAATGGGAAAGAGAGATTCTCTGCAAGGTGAATTCCTTGCAGGTACTTAGAATTTCTGGATAAACACACCTCCTTCCAGCTCCCATCTACATTTTTAGCTGCCCAAATTCTCATAAACTCAGGACTGCCCTAAAGCATACTGTCTCCGGGTGTTACCCCTCCGCTTGGGTGGAGACAGGCCATGTTCCCAGAGGGCAGTGAGCAGCCTACTTCCTGGCCCTGGTGAGCCTGTCTGAGGAAGACTCAGAGGAGACCCCGTGCCTGGCCATGCCGCCCTGGCTCCAAATCTGTCTCCTGGTCTTCTCAGCCTCCATTGGTCAAAGGCAGGCCGGCTTCCATCTCCTAAGTCTGACTAATCAGAATCCTCCAGCAGTGGAACTTTTTTCCTCTCTCCTGACTTTAAATTGAATAGTAAAGAAATAGGCTGAAGTTTTTGCCTAAGTAAAAGAAAAAGGAAATACCTAATGTCCATCAGCAAGAAAGTGCACGGAATGACTTCATACGTGGACTGAATTGCAGCAGTGAGGTTGTAGGACCTAGGCTACACGGAACAACATTGATGAGTCTCATAAATGTGGGCAAAAAAGCAGGTGGCAGAAAGACAATACCACATATATATATATAGTTTGTTTTTGTTTTGTTTTTTTTATCCTCACCCAAGGACTCTTTTCCATTTTTTATTCAGATAGAATGGGAGGGAGAGAGAGAAACATCGACGTGAAAGGGACACATCAAGTGGCTGCCACCCGCACGACCAACCAGGGCCGGGGACAAACTGCAACCGAGGTACGTGCCCTTAGCGGGAACCGAACCCGGGTTTCTCTGGACCACAGGCCGACGCTCTAACTGCTGAGCCAAACTGGCCAGGGCTATAGTTTTTAAACTTGCTAGGCAGTACTATAAAATGTTAAATATAAAGATATGTGTGAGAAACAATTTCAGGATGATGTTTCCTTCTAGAAGAGAAGAAGGGGAATTGGATTTGGAAGAGGGACAGGGTTTCAACTGTGTATAGTTTGCTCTTTAAGGTTCATTTTGAATATGTGGCTGTTAATTACTCTGTCATTTTATATTGAAATATTTCATAATAAAAATATGACAGAAATTTAATTTCTAAAAGTTCAATTAGCTTTAGGGAATACATTTAGGTCAGGTCTTAGCCAAGTCCTCTGAACATAAAACACTGATGTTTCAGAGTAAAACCCAGATAGATCTTCGAGCCACAAGATCTTCAGTTATAAAGATTTTTAATTCTGCTGATTGTACAGTTTTTATGTGAACAAGGAAGTAGACTGATAATGTTAAATATTTTCAACAAGGTTGTGATGAACTCAGGTAGAACTGAGCCTGCAGACACAGTTTGTTGGCCTTCATGGTGCTCACGTTTTCAAAAGTAATTAATTAGTGTCTCTTGAGATTTCATGTTTTAAAAATCTGGGTGGCCACCTGTTAAGCTCAGGAAATCCGTCATCCCTAGGCCCACGCTTCTGCATGGCAGCAGCTGGCAGGTGCTGAGTGTCCACTGTCCCCTTTTAAGGTGGCAGGCCTCTACAGTTGGCCACTGTCCCCACCCAGCCAGGCTCTGCTGGCCGGCGCTGGAGGACCGTGAGTGCAACCCCTGCATTAAACTCAGTTATTCAAAACATGCCTTCGAGGCACCCCGGCCCGCGGCTGTCACTCCCGCAATGCTCTGGCAGTGTTTGCCGGTTTAGAGTAGTGAGTGTGTTTCGGTTCCGCCGTGTCTGTAGAGATGGCTGCCTGCCAAGAGCACGGCTGGGCCAGCTGAGAGAGCTGGCCTTCCCGCAGCGCCACGCTGCAGGGCTGTGGTTGGGAAAGCGCAATTTTCCTCTAATTCGTGGTCTCATTAAAGAGCTTGAATTTAAAAAATGCACATCTGCCTAGCTGCCTACTGTCAAGTTGGACTTTTATGCAGATTTTCCCTCTTCTGCGTTGGTGGGTTTGAGGATGACGACAGCAACGCGACAGGAAGTCCTTGGCCTCTATCGCCGCATTTCCAGGCTCGCGAGGACGTGGCAGGCAGCCTCGGGGCAGGTGGAGGACACCATCGCAGAGAAACAGTACATAGTCAATGAAGCCAGGACGCTGTTCCGGAGAAACAAACACGTAAGTAGCCTCAGTTGGGGATTGCAAGGAGGAGAGTAGTTTCTTGTGTGTCCATTTCTTTTCTGTCCTAAAACAGAGAGGACTAAGCAGTCACAGTGGCAGCGTGTGGGCAGGCAGGGGCTGAGGCACAGCCTGGTCAGCCTGCCCAGGCACCCGGAGGAAGAGCCCAGCTCCGGTCTCCCTTTGCAGTGGTTTCAGGTCTTGGTCCAGCTGGTAAGTGTCTCTGCACCCTGAGACGACCCCCAGGCCAGGGGAGAGTCAGGCCAGTGACAGTCTTCAGGGAGGAGACACGGTCCCTCAGAGATGTTCCAGAGTTAGAAGGAAAAAAATGTAGAATTACAGTTGGGATAAGTGCTACGAAAGAAACCCTCTCAATTTTTAGTATTTGCCCCTCTCAGAATCCCTGCAGCATCCTGCTTTATAAGACCTACCTGCATGTGAAGATTCTCTGCCCTCTGTCCCTCCGGCTTCTCCACACACTGCTGCCACGCGTGCCACACCAGAGTACATGTGACCCTCCGGCTTCTCCACACACTGCCGCCACGCGTGCCACACCAGAGTACACGTGACCCTCCGGCTTCTCCACACACTGCCGCCACGCGTGCCACACCAAGTACACGTGACCCTCCGGCTTCTCCACACACTGCCGCCACGCGTGCCACACCAGAGTACACGTGACCCTCCGGCTTCTCCACACACTGCCGCCACGCGTGCCACACCAGAGTACACGTGACCCTCCGGCTTCTCCACACACTGCCGCCACGCGTGCCACACCAGAGTACACGTGACCCTCCGGCTTCTCCACACACTGCCGCCACGCGTGCCACACCAGAGTACACGTGACCCTCCCGGCTTCTCCACACACTGCCAGCCACGCGTGCCACACCAGAGGACACGTGACCCTCCGGCTTCTCCACACACTGCCGCCACGCGTGCCACACCAGAGTACACGTGACCCTCCGGCTTCTCCACACACTGCCGCCACGCGTGCCACACCAGAGTACACGTGACCCTCCGGCTTCTCCACACACTCTGCCGCCACGCGTGCCACACCAGAGTACACGTGACCCTCCGGCTTCTCCACACACTCTGCTGCTAGCGCATACCACGTGTGACACACCAGGTACATGTAGCCCTGAGGTCCTTAGATTATCCTTGGAGGAAGGGAAATCAGGTGCTGCAAGTACTGTTTCTGTTTAGTTTTATTGCATTCTTTCAAAATGTCTGTTTTGTGTATGTGTATAATGAAATTATTAATACATTTAGTGAACTTATTAATGCACATATAAATTATTATAAATACTTGTATGGGATATGTGGGCTCAAAAGTATTTATTGAAAGGAGTTGATGATAAAAAAGTTTGCAGATCACTATCCAATACATGCCTCTAAGGAGTTGGTCATACCCTTTTCCTCACTTGTTCCACTTATGTTGGTGTGGCCTCCCCCCTAGACTGTCATTTCCTCAAATGCACAGAAAATGTCTTAGACTCTCTGAGTATAGCTCTTGGGCCCTGATTTGTGGTTTTCGTAAGTTAACAAGTGTTTACAAACACTTTGACTCAGCTGACCTCAGGAAGCCTTCCTCAGTTTCTCTGCCCTCACCCAACCCCAGGATGAGCCCTATTCTGACTTTACATATTAGTTGATTATGTACCACTGTGCCTTTACTGTAGCTTCATGTGTCAGAGTTGTCCTGCCTGGGTAATAAAGGCAAGGGACCATGGCCTCACAGTGCCCAGCCTGGTGCTGGGTTCACAGTAGGGCATGCCCAGCACCCCTGCAGGCTCACTCACCTGAGGACTGCTCAGGGCCCTTGAGGTCTCACTGCGGCAATAATCGATCCTTCGTTCAGTTCACCTCTGCTCGACTGCGCCCGAGGTGGTGTGGGCCCCAGGGCGCTGTGTGCCAGCAACGGTGCCTGAGTGAGACTTTGTGGAGTTGGGGGAGGTGTGTGGGCTTTTCATTTTAACACATGTGCTTGTGTTACTATGTATTAGAAAGAAAATAGAGTATCCGGTAATTTCACAAACATGGTGCTTACGAGAGTCCATTTAAAGAAAAAGTTTAACGTTAGTATAGGTGGTGTATAGTTACGGCAAAATCACGCAGGCAGCCTCTGAAGGATGGAATTTGGAGAACTCTCCCCGCAGAAGCCCTCCGCTCCCTTAACAATCGCTTTGTCAGGGCCTTTTCCCATCCCTCACTGCAGACACACACAAGTTGTTTCTTGTCATCTCACTTTCTGTAAGAGCGTGGTAATAATCTGAAGGTATCTCATGAATTGCTCTGAAGTCTAAGAGGTAAATGAGAAGGAACATGGACATTTTCCCAAGGTGGACATCAAAGCCACAGCTTCTGAGAAGCACAGAGGTTAAAAAGCTGAGCCTCTGCCTCAAGAAACTCAGCTGTGCATTGCAATTCCCAGAACTCTCCGCTGCTCCAAGAGGTGCCATAGGACGCGTTTCCAAGCCGGTGGCCCAGACTTCCCTGTGGGTGTCCTGTGGGTTGATGCAGTCCCAGCTCCGCTTTGAGCCACTTGCAGAGTCGTAGCAGAGCTGTGTGTTGACTTACTTGGAATCCTCAGAACGAGAGACTCTCCTTTTCACCACCTCGCTTTCTGTGTTGAGAATGAACTTGTCATTCTTTTACTTAAAACTGGACTACTACGGTTTGACTGTTTTGGAATTTCAGAAACCATTTCTTCCCCTGACTGATGAGCAAGGCATGTCACAGTTCAGAATGAGAGATGAATCATTCTCCAGTGTCTAGACAGCACTGGCTGCGACAGTGGGGTACCTCAGAGTTTGGTCAGCATGGGGAGATGTGCAGAAACCTCAGTGTTGTGGGAATATAATGTAATACGTGCTGTAGGAGTTTAAATCAATCAGCCTCTTAGAGTAGCTGTTTTCAACCAGTGTGCCACAAGAATTTTTAATTCTTTTTTTAATCCTCACCCAAGGATATATTTTCTTTGATTTTTAGAGAAAGAGAGAAACATTGATGTGAAAGAAACATCGATTAGTTGTCTGTCTCCCCATATATGACCCGGCTGGGGATCGAACCCGCAACCTTTTGGTGCACATAATGGCGCTCCAACCAAGTCACCTGACCAGGGCCGCAAGAATTTTTAAAGCATGCAACACTTGACTATTTAGTCAGGGACACTGACCTCTTTTTCCCTTATGTTGTCAAATTTAAAAAAATGACAATAGCCGTCTGGTATGATTGAATCAAAATTATACATATTTTTTGTCAGAATGGCAAAAAAATACATTTTTTTAGTGTGTGGCAGAATTTTAGAATTAGTTTATGTGTGTCATGAGATGAAAAAGATTGAAAATCACTGTCTTAGAGGGTAATTTGAACCTAGAGGGAATATCTGTGAATTAAAAATGCATGAATAGCCTGGCTGGTGTGGCTCAGTGGATTGAGGGTCGTCCCATGGACTGAGAGGTCCCAGTTCAATTCCCGGTCAGGGCACATGCCCGGGTTGCGGGCTTGATTCCCAGTAGGGGCGTGCAGGAGGCAGCTGATCGATGTTTCTCTCTCACATTGATGTTTCTTTTTCTCCCTTCCTCTCTCTAAAAAAATCAATTAAAATATTTTTTTAATTAATTGATTAAAATGCATATCATTTTATCACTGGAATATACACCCTCTGACCCATAATTCTTTCTCTAGGAAATTATCTTTTAGATATATTTGCATATGAGCCAAAAAAAATTTAGAGCAATCCATAACAGATTTGTCTGTAATGGCAAAGACTGGGGGTAACCTAAATGTCCATCAGCAGAAGATGGGTTAAATTATTGTTTTGTTTTTTTTTTAATAGTTTTTTTCCCCTTTATTGATTTTAGAGAGAGGGAGGAAGGGAGAGGGAGAGTGAGATAGAAACATTGATGAGAGAGAACATCGATTGGCTGCCTCCTGCATGCCCCCCACTGGGGATCAGGCCCACAACCTGGGCATGTGTCCTGACCAGGAATCAAACCAGTGACCTCTTGGTGCATGGGTCGATGCTCAACCACTGAGCCACACCAGCTGGACTTAAATTATTTTGGAATTTGGTGCAGCTGTTAAAAAGAATGGGGCAGTTTTACATGTATAAATATAGAAGGAGCATCAATTTATTAGTGGAAAAAGCAAGGTTCAGAACAAATTGAACTATCATTTGTGTAAGAAAAAAACCTTGAGTGGCTAGCAGAGCTGTGGTACATTTACACAATGGAATACTATATGGCTATAAAAAAGAAGGAACTCATCATTTGCAACAGCATGGATAGAACTGGAGATTGTTATGCTAGGTAAATATAAGCCAGTCAGAGAAAGACAAATACCATATGATGTCACTAATATATGGAATATAATGAACAAAATAAACTGATGAACAAAATGGAACCAGAAGCATGGACACATGGAACAGACTGGCTGGTGCCCAAGGGGTGGGGGATGGGGTGAGTGGATAAAGAAGGTGAAGGAAATAGCCAAAGAACATATATGCATACCCCATGGACATGAACAATAATTTGGTAAAGGCCAAGAAAGGGGGGGGGGGGGACTTCTACAAGAATCAACATTAAAAAATATTTAATAAAAAAAGAAAAAATGGTTTTCAAATTATCAGCATTGAAGGTATTGGATGGTGAACTGAGAGAGTCCAGCACGTGCTCCTGTGTCCTGTGTCGCATTAGAACGAGCCTGCTGTCCTCTCTCAGCTCACAGACGCAGCCCTGATCAAGCAGTGTGTGGCCGAGTGCACCGCCAGGATCGAGATGGCACTGCACTACCGGATCCCTTATCCACGGCCGGTGAGTGTGACCCTGGCTAACGTGGCGGCCACTGCCCGTTGGAGTGTTGTCTGGGGTCTAGAACTGCTGTAGGCGGATATTGAAAACAAGCTGTCCTTGCACGCGGCCAGTCCATCACAATAACCAGAACGTCAGTGAGTGCCACGCCCAGGAGGGAAAGCCAGCTGCCGTTCACCGAGCTTTCTCTTCTGCCATTCACTTTTCTGTGGCAAGGTTTCATCATATAAGACAGGTTGTTGTTAACAAAAGAACAAGGTTCAAACATTAGAGGAATGCATGATAGTGAAATTTGTCAAAAATTCACACCCTGTGGAAGTGACCCCTGTAACTGTTGGGTTGACCATATTAAACTGCCAATTTTCTACCCGTGACCTACAAAAACAGTAATTCTATATTGTATTGGCTCAGACTAATAGTTGGGTACTATATCCTTGTATTCTTTTTTCCTGCACTCGTGCATACATTTTCTTTACCTAAAGTACATGGAGCCCTGGGTGTGCCTTTATTGCCTACTCACTCTCCTTCCATGGCTTCTGGGCATATCTGCCTCCATCTTGTACAGGGCTACTGTGTATCCTGTTGTGGGAGTGAGCCCTTCCAGTAGGCCCTGAGATCGCTCCCAGTCTGCCACCAGGCACACACCTTTGTGTATACTCTTTCCCCTCACCTTTGCATCTGCATTTCACTCGGTGTGGCCATGTTCCCTCCGTGCAGGCGACGTGGCAGAGAAGAGCACACTGTGGCATCAGCAGGTCTGGGTTCAGATCCCAGCTCCGTCACCTCACGGATAATCTCGAGCAAGTTGTAACTTCTGAGCTCCATTTTCTCATCAAATGTTGATATAATTCCGTATGAGATGGCTGTAAGGATTGATATGTGTGAGGGGTAATGACTTGGTGTAGATTTAGTGCTTAGCAGAGGGCATGGTATTTAATAAATCCTCAATGAATATAAGCTGCTGCAGTAATGCTAATTCTTAATATTCTCCTTCTCCTCCTCCTTCCTCAGATTCATCTGCCTCCAATGGGGCTCACCCCACTGCGAGGCCGGGGGCTCCGAAGCCAGGAGAAACTGAGGAAACTGTCCCAGCCCGTGTATCTCAAGTCTCACGATGAGCTTTCCTAATCCAGAAAAAGTTTATTTCTCAGGATGATGAGCCAACTAGATCGTGAATGTTATCCAGAATGCAAAACCTTTCTCCTTGATTGGGGCAAAATTTCAAGTATCTTCTTAAAAAACCTCCAAAATATTGGCACTCACCACGTGACGTGTATGCACAGCTTGCCAGGGCCTTGCTGCCCGAGGGGACACCAACCCTGGAGGTCCCTGGCCTCACGCCCTCCCTGAAGCGCCATCTGGGAACAGCTGAGGCCTGTGGGAGGAAGACTGGAGAAGGGCCAGGCTGCTTGTGGAAGCACCGCCACCCGACTGTCGGCTGACGCAGAGCCCTTCCCGGCTCCTAGGTACCTCCACAGAATACTTTTAGGCTTTTTTTTAAGTTATAGATTTGCTTACAAGGAGGTTTTTTTGCCCTGGCCAGTGTGGCTCAATTGGTTGGGTGTTGTCCATGCCCGCAAAGTTCGCCAGTTTGATACCCGGGCAGGGCACATGCCCAGGTTGTGGCCTTGATCCCTGGAGGGGTGTGCAGGAGGCAGCCGATCGATGTTTTACTCTTGCATGGATGTTTCTCCTTCCCCCCTTCCACTCTCTAAAAATCAATAAAATATCTTGTAAAAAATGGGCGTTTTGTGTGTTTTGTCATCTTTTGACTCTTCCAATTTCCATGTAAACACCCCTTAAAACAGCAGTTCTCAACCTGTGGGTCACGACCCCTTTGGGGATCGAACGACCCTTTCATAGGGGTCACCTAAGACCATTGGAAAACACATATTTCTGATGGTCTTAGGAACGGAGACACCGCTCCTCTGTCCGCCTCCAGGCCGGTCCGCCCACATGCAGCTGTGCCACATACAACATGAGGAACCGTATTACAGGGTCACGGCATTAGGAAGGTTGAGAACCACTGCCTTAAAAAGTGCACCATGGGATTGGCCATGGTTTTTCATGGAGATTTTCATGGAGAACATCCTTGCCTCCTTCATACACATGCGCAGAAGCACGTCTCAGTTCATTGCATGTGTTTGCTTTATCTTAAAGCATACGACTGTGATGCTGAAAGGCTCACTGGAAACATATACTGATCACATAAGCATTTTGCCTTCACATAATTAGAATGTACAAGGGCAAAGCTGGCTTCCAAATGATGTCCAAACAGAAATGGAGCACGGAGAGGTTGACACATGAAGAACCGACAGGTGTGCGTGTGTGGGGCAGGTGAGAGTTCCACAGCAGGTTGTCTGCACGCCAGCATCACCCCTTCTCACCTCCAAGAGGATGAGCGTCCCCAATAAATACAAACCGCTGTTGGTCTGTATTCTTTTCCAAAATGGCCTCGTGACCCACAGAAGCAGCAGCTGATGACTTTCCGTGTCCTGTGAGTGGGAGCGTAGTTTCTTAATGCTTCGGGCAAGTATCGCAGCACTTGGCGATGGGAATATGTAGGACTGCAGTACTGAGTGGGATACAGTGTTCCAGCCCGTGACACCGGCCAGAGCAGCGACAGCGCAGCCACGGGCCTTTGCTGGGGAGACAGATGTCAGCGTTCAGCGAGTGGACACCCCAGCCCAGCTTGAACCGAGAGATGGGAACCTGCCATCCATCAGCCACTCCTCCATCTAGTCTCATTGTGGAGGCATCCCCCTGTCCGGAAGTGGTTCTCATGTTCAAGTGTCTCATTCAACACAGGGCCTGTGAACTCAGCCAATCAAATGATCTGTTCTTGCATCAGAGGAAAAGCTGCCTCTGCTGGACCAAAGACCCATGGCTTCCTGTCTCCACTGTGGTCCCTTTCTCAGTAATTCGGTGATTGTGACTGCAATGTTTTCTTACTCTGTTGAGTGTAGAAACCACCTTTCCCACCCAGCCTCCTCTGAGATGGAAGTCCATCTAATTGCTGGCTAGCCTCCGAGTTTCTTCTGTGTGCCAGGAATCTTACATACAGGTGAATGTTATATGCCTAGCCGTCTTTGAAAGATGCATATTCTTTTTCCTTTTCTCCCCAAAATGTTAAGAGCTCCATGTGTTGGTCTTTTAATGGCAGAACCTAGCTTCTTCCTACATCCCTTCTCTCAATGACATTTTCTTCCAACACTGACTGACAAGGACTGAAAACTACCTCAAAACTAGATTTTTAAAGAGCCAGGAGAAGCTTTGTGACAGGGCTCATCTAATGTCATCCACTGAGCTATTCGAAGGCAGGGCTGGCAGCGTCTCGCTGAGCTGACCTCTGGCCATCTCTGTTCCAGGACTCCTCTCCAACTCATCAGGACTTCTGAGGAACACTGTGCTCTTTTCCAGGGAGACGTTCATTACCACATTGGTCCCAACAGAAACTGACCTCAAACTTTGGCAATCTTTTTTTCAACATGGAAGAAACTTTTTAAGTCATAAAAATAATCCATTGTACAGAAACATTCTGTCCCTGGCCCCTGAAAAAAGACATAGCCAGTCCCAGCCCCCTCAGCTTTTCTCCCCCAAGAGGCAGTTAGACACTAAATAAAATTCAGTTGTCTTTCAGCAATTCCTCCATGCCCTGAGCTTGCAGTGTGACACCTCGCCAGCTTGAGTCAGGGATCGGGGGTCCCAACCAGCCTTCCAACTCGCACGACTCACATCTTACCTGGAACGATAAGGCGGTTTCAGCTATCTATCCATTCTGATTTTTCCCCCACTTTGAGCAGAAGGCTACCAGCTCCTCCTCTTTATTGGCCCTGACAAGATCAGGAGAACCCCCCCCCCAAAGCATGTCTCTGGGGTCACTCAGCTGACCTGGGATCTCCTAATTCAGAGTCCCAAAATCAGAATTTTATCGGCGCCGTGTTCCCATGAAGAAACAGGATTTTGAAATATGTTTATTTCTCAGAAGTTCCTGCGTTCAGAAGACATCAAAGACTCGAGTCAGGACATTTCCAGTGAAGAGGGGCAGCCAGGCAGACACATTCTCACCATTACACAGCCTGTGTCTGCTCAGATGTGAACTCATCTGTGGAATGTACCGAAGAAGCCACTCAGAGCCAATGAGCTTCATGAGCGAGTTAGTTGAGAAGTTGATTTTTAAAAAATATGTTTTTATTGTTTTGTTTTGTTTTAAAGGGAGAGAGACACACAAACATCAATGTGAGAGAGATATACTAATCAGCCGCCTTTGCACGCCCCCTACTGGGGATCGAGCCCGCAACCCAGGCATGTGCCCTGACGGGAATGGAACTGGGACCTCTCAGTCCACTGGACGACGCTCAGTCTACTGAGCCACACCGGCCGGGCAAGAGAATTTAATTTTTATCTTCCTCAGCATTCTCTTCTAGTTTGCCCTTAGAAGAAACTGTGATAAAGTAAACTTTCTTGGACATGGTTGAAACGAATTCAAGATTCTACATCAGCGGCAGAGCAGCATGTGACAGTGGAAATGTACTGGGTTCCACAGCCAGGCAAACCTCAGCCCCGAACCTGGCTCCGCAATGTTGCAAGAGCCCAGTGATCTTGGCATGTTACTTAATCTCCCTGCACCTTCAGAGGGAGAGACAATCATACCCAACGCAGGAACAAACAAGGTGTCTGAAGGCCTGGCCACATGGCACACAGGAGGCATGCAGCAAATACTGTGTCTCTCACGTCTCCTTTCTTCCTGAAGTTTCCACCAATGTGGAGAAGCATTTGGGTCCCACTGCTGCCACACACTAGCTGTGGAACCTTGGGCTCGTTACTTTTCCAAGCCTTAATTTCTGCATCTCAAAGGTGGAGATAGGATCACACATACCACATAAGAAGGTTGTGAGAAGTGCATTTTAAACATACCGCGAGCCTTAAAAAAATAAGTATCATAGCCTCTTTCAGCTTCTGAGAGACCCTGATGTTAGCCCATGTGAACAGACTAGGAAAGAAGTGGTTAAAATGCAGAGGCAGTTATAGCAAAACAGTGGGAAGTAACCGCAAGTTGCTAGCCACATGGTTGGAGGTCTAGGTTGGAGAGTCTCACTGCCTGTGTTCGACCCTGGCTCCACTATTTTATTTCATTTTATTATTATTATTTTTTTAATCCTCACTCGAGGATATTCTTCTAGTTTTGTTCAGATAGAGTGGGAGGGAGAGAGAAGAGAGGAAAGGTGAGAGAGAGAGAAACATTGACATGAGAGGGCACATCGAGTGGTTGCCTCCTGAACAACCCCAATCAGGGCCGGGGATGAATTGCAACCGAGATACATGCCCTGGACTGGAATCGAAGCCAAGCCTCATTGGTCCGCAGGCTGACACTCTAACCACTGAGCCAAAACGGCCAGGATTAGGCTCCACTATTTCAGTAGCTATGTGATTTGGGGGAATATCACTAACCTTCTCTGTATCGTGCTTTCTGCAGCCGTGAAATGGGAATGGTAAGATAACTGCGGCCTAGGGCTGCTCTGGGATGCCTGGCTCACAGCCCGTGCTGTTCATCCACTGTCCTCCTGACACTCTCACTGCGCCAGCTCACGCTCAGGAAGGGAAGCTGCATCATAATAAAGAATGAAATGCCTTTTATTTTCTGTGGGGACAGATGCCATCAGTTATCCAGCTGGCACAGGCAGGCTACCCCTCGGTTTATCCAGTGCTTCTGGGGCCTGTCTGTTGGAAGTTCGATGGAGAGGACGTAGTTGGTGGAGTGGCCTGTGGTGGACAGGATGCCTCTCCGGGCGCTTGTTTTATAGACTGGACACACGTAAATGTTCTGATGCAGAAATGCTGCACTTTCCCCAGGTTTCAGCCAGATGATGGGCACCGGGTCATAGAGGATTTTAGGGAACGACTCCTCAATCTGCATCATTTTCCTGTCCCAACGAGCGCCTTCCAAGAAGAGTCCTTTTATGTAGGCCCCATCTTCTGGGTTACGCTCCATGACGGTTTCTTGTGTGGTTACCTGAAGGAGAGGAAGCTGTGAGTTTCGTGACCTGCCGCTTTCCTGATGGGCAACCTGACTGTCATGTCTGCCTTTCCCAGGGTGGACCCCCAGGACTCTGCGGCATCTGTCTGCCACACGCAGGCCAGGCCAGACTCCCGGTGGGCACGCTGCCCTTCTGCGTGGCAGGCACGGACGTGACCTACACCAGGGGTCAGGGACCACTGGACTGTAGCTAGCTGAGTGGCCCTTTCTGAACCTGGATCCACAGGTGAGTGGTTAGATTCAGGTCCATACCAGTAAAACAGTGATCGGGGGGGGAGAAATGGAGCCTTGGTTTGTGCTTTTTGTCCTTTTCTGTAGTCGAAAGATTCCCACCATGGTCAATTTCAGGCTATCGGCTATTTTTTTTTTTTTTTTTATCCTCACCTGAGGACATTTTCCATTTTTTTGTTCAGGTAGAGTGGGAGGGGGAGAGAGAGAGAGAGACAGAGAGAGAACCATCGATGTGAAAGGGACACATCAAGTGGCTGCCACCCACACGACCCAACCAGGGCCAGGGACAAACTGCCGAGGTACATGTACCGAGGTACATGTCCTTAGCGGGAACTGAACCTGGGTCTCTGTGGACCGCAGGCTGACGCTCTAACTGCTGAGCCGAACCGGCCAGGGCCTATCAGCTATTTAACAGTCAGCTCCAACTGGCTCTGGTGAGTTGGTGCGAGCCAGCTCCAACCCACCACAATGTATTTATTTATTTATTCATTCATCTATTTATTTCTATTGATTGATTTTAGAGAGAGACAGGAAGTGGGGGAGAGAAAGAAAAACATTGATTTTTGTTGTCCCACTTATTTATACATTGATTGATTGATTATTGTATGTGCCCTGACTGGGATGGAACCCTCAGCCTCGGTGTATAGAGACAACACTCTAACCCATGCACAGTCTGGCCAGGGTGCCCACCTAACTGGGACTCAGAGGTGGTGAGCTCAAATTCCTTCAGGTAGATACAGAAAACGGTCTAGGTCAGTGGTTCTCAACCTGTGGGTCGTGACCCCTTTGGGGTCGAACAACCCTTTCACAGGGGTCGCCTAAGACATACCAGTAGCAAAATTATAGTTATGAAGTAGCAACAAAATAATTTTATGGTTGGTGGTCACCACAACATGAGAAACTGTATTAAAGGGTCACGGCATTAGGAAGGTTGAGAACCACTGGTTTAGGTGAATAGGGACTGTGGGACTTATGGCGAAACATAGAGCATAAGCTCCATTTTATTTTAGTTTTAGATTTTTTTCTTCTATTGATTTAAGAGAGAGAGAGGAAGGGAGAGGGAGAGATAGAAACATCGATGAGAGAGAACTTCGATTGGCCGCCTCCTACATGCCCTGCACTGGGGATCGGGCCCACAACCTGGGCATGTGCCCTGACTGGGAATTGTGCCATGACCTCTTGGTGCATGGGTTGACGCTCAACCACTGAGCCACACGAGCCGGGCCATAAGCTCCATTTTAAAATCACTCAAATTCTAATTTTTTTTGTGATTGTGAATGAAATGTTTTTCCCATTTCTATTTCTAAGAACTTACTGCTAGAATATGAAAGGCTATTGATTTTTGTATATTTAACTAGTTACCTTACAAATTCTTCTCTTATATAATGTTTTTGGGGTCTCTTGGGATTTCTAGGTATACAATCATTTCAACATCAAAAAATATGGTTTTATGTTTTTTCCAGTGTTTACCAGTTGTTTTGTTTTGTTACTATATTAATTTTGGATTAACATTGTCTTGAAAGGCCTATCAAGTTAAGTTTATTCGCAAACCTTTTTTTTTTTTTTTGGTACGTGCCCCCCTAGTGTGAACCGAACCTGGGACTGTCTGGTCTGCAGGCCAACGCTCCAACTGCTGAGCCACACCGGCCAGGGCTGTTCGCAAACTAAATTGATCTCAGAGGATCTTCCCGCAGAATCTAAGGTTGTACGTCCACAGCCCGTCCTGCTCCTTCCTCTCCAAGGAGTGTGGGTGACACTCGACTACTGACAATTCCTTTAGCTTTGCTCCCAGCAAAAGACCAGCCAAGACCCTGAACTTCCTTCCACGTGGGGACCACCTGTTAGACAGACAGCACGGGAGATGCTTGCATTCTTCGTAGAGTCATGGTGGGAGATGTTCCTCTGAGAAGATCCCTTTATACACACAGAGACAAAGCCTGGGGAATCCTCTGCTTCTGTCAGGAATACCTCTGGGAACTACTTTAGTTCGCACTGAGTATTTCACCTGCACCATCTCAGAAGCAGCTGTGCCCTAACACACCGAGTGTTCAGACTAACAGGAAGTGGACATCGGTTTCTCCGGCTGACCGAGCTGGCCTAAGCCAGAGCAGTCCTACCTCAAACTTGAATCCAATGTGGTCGATGGGGATGGTGTACTTCCGGGCGTAATTCTGCGAGACGCCCGTCAGAAACGACTGTGTGAAGTAGAACCCGGAGATCCAGAAGACCACCGGGGGCCCGCTGTCGATCCAGTCCTGGAGGCCCAGAAACGAAAATCCCCAGTCAACAAAGAAGGCAAAGATAGTTCAAAGGCAGGTCATGGAAATGAGTCCATGAAGAAATATGCTTTTTCTCCTTTCCCTTGAAACACATAGCCTTTCGGTTTGCCTTACATCTTCCCACTCACATGAAGGGACAAAGAAATGTACGTCCATGTGAAGGGAAGCTCGAGCCAGTGCCAGGGGCTCAGCTGCACCCACCCGCTGTGGCAACAGGGGCCGTGCCAGTGTGCAGGCCCGCTGCGTCAGGTCTTCCTTTTTTTGCAGGACAGATATCTTGATTTTTATGTGTAATGATCCAATGTTTACATGCTTACTCCAGAATTTTATTTTATTTTTTTTCAGACAGAGTGGGAGGGAGAGAGAGAGAGAAAAAAAAAAACATCAATGTGAGAGAGACACATTGCCTGGTTGCCTCCTACACGACCCCGACCAGGGCCAAGGACGAACCGAACTGCAACCGAGGTATGTGCCCTCAGCAAAAATCGAACCCGTGACTTTTTGGTCCAAGGGCTGACACTCTAACCACTGAGAAAACCGGCTAGGGCTTGCTCAAAAATTTTAAATTACCAGGCTGCCAAACCAAATGTATCTTTTAGCCAAATCTGATCCACGAGCCACCAGTGTGGGACCTTTACAATCACTCTACTCCTGCCTCGAGGCTGGTCTCCCGCCACTGTGACCACTCCTGCCCTCAGCTCTGGGAAGACCATTTCCAGAAGAGCTCGATCCAGGGCACTGTGGCTGCCTTGCCTCTCCCTCTGCCTCTGGTCTGTCCTTTCAGAATGTCCTCTCCACCTGAGTGAGCACGCCAGATGCCCAACTACCCTGACTCCCAGGTACCTGGAAGAAGGCCAGGCGGGCCAGCATGTCAGCCACATAGCCCCCCAGCGGCTTCAGCGAGGGGTAGGACTTGGCCATCCACATGGCCGGCACTTTGCCCACAAGCATGCTGTTGAAGACATCCTCCAGCTCCGAGGACATCAGGACCTGCCCTTTGATGGCCTGGCCAAGATTGATGAGGCTGGTACGAACTACTCTGGTCAACCTGTAAGAATAAAGGAGCCTCTCAGTCCAGCTCTCCAGTGGCTTCGCTTTGCCGAGCACACCGACTCCCGGTCTCCTTCCCCTTTCCCTCCTTTAGAAGGTCAGACAATTAATGTACCTTCGTGGTAGAAAACTTCTAGAGCTGAGAAAAATTAAATCACCCATTGTCTCACCACTAACAATAACTTTGATGCACATTTATCTTTCTAGATTTTTCTGTATGTAAACAAATTAGTTTTAATGGAATCATGCTATATTACTTTTTTGTAATTTTTTTCTCTCAGCATAGAGGAATCTTTTTGCCAATTCAAGAGATTTAAATTATCCTGTTGAATGACTGCAATGTCATGTTTTACTTAACTCTCACCCTGTTGTTGAAATTTATTACTTTAGGTTGTTGCCACTGGAAACTGCATGGCTGGAAAGATCCATCTGTATCCATCTTTGAACAAATGTATAATAATTTTCTTACCCAAAGTGAAATTTTTAGGTCAAAGAGTAATTCAATTTTCGCAGTTTTGATCTAAATTGCCATTTTGACCCAAGGTGCTGTTTTTAACAGACTGACTATGAGGCGCATACCTGAGAATGGCAACCGAAGGGCAGCCTGGGAGTCGCCACACTTGCCTGTTTCTTCCTCTGGCCTCTGTGCGTGAGGTCTAGCCAAGCACAGAGGGAATGTACCTGAGTGTGCAAAGAACCTGCCACCAGAGAGAGCTTGTCATCTCCCAGACTTATGAAATCGCAGCCAAATGACATAAGAATGGTCAAATCCAGGAAGAGACTGTGGTTGTGTAACCACTAGACATTCACACTGAGAAGTTAAGGTTCAAGTACATGGTGTGTGTGTCTAGCTGGGCAGTCAAGTGCATCGTGCCCCCTACCTGTGACTGTGACACCTAAAGACCTACTTGCAAACGTTTTCCTTCTGTTCTTGCAAGTAGGAGCTCTGTAGTGCCAAAGGTTTGAGTACCCAAGGAAGGCACGTTTGCCCCAGAAGACAGTAACGCTTCCTCTGAATTAGAAGCTGACCTGTCTCCTCATCATTCGGGGCTTCTCATGCCACCAAGTGAACAGGCCAAACCAGCAGTGAGCATGAGTGTTAGAGTATTGCCCGATGTGGTTGATCTTGACCATAGCGGGAAAAGAAGGTTGCTGCTGCCTGATTGCTTGTATTCAACGGCCTGCAGTAAAGGCAAGTGAAAGCCCCTGCAACTCCAAGGATGAGCTGCAGGGACCTCAGCGGCTGTGGCAGCCATCAGGCCTGGTGTCTGGATATGAGGACTCAGCTCATGGTGCCAAGTCATTTGACTCACCACAGTGGTGCACAGTCCTAGGCTCACACCCATGCTTTTGGTTCTGCCATACAGTCAACTGCTATTGACTCTAAACAGGAACCTAAGATTGGGGAAGCCAGAAAATTCTTAGATGACATTCTTCTAGTTCCCTAGTCCTTCAGAGTCAGAGCTGTCCTTAAAGCAGAGCAATGACCAGTGAGGCAAATGCAGACAGCAACACAGGGAGCCTGGAGCAGTAATAACCTTGGAGACAGAAGCCATGCGTTTCTTCATTTGGCCTGGATGCTTGTTGGGAGTCCTTTCAGTTTTGACTATAAGTCAATCAAGATAATCCAGTCCAGCCAGTGTGGCTCAGTGGTTGAGCACTGACCCATGCACCAAGAGGTCACTGGTTTGGTTCCTGGTCAGGGCACATGCCCAGGTTGTGGGCCCAATTCCCAGTGGGGGGCATGCAGGAGGCGGCCAATCAATGTTCTGTCTCATCGATGTTTCTCTCTCTCTCTCTCCCTCTCCCTTCTTCTCTCTCTAAAATCAATAAAGGGGAAAAAAAAGAATGCTTGTCCTTTTAAAAAAAAAAGAGCCCTGGCCAGTTTGGCTCAGCGGTTAGAGTGTTGGCCTGTGGTCCAGAGAGACCCAGGTTTGGTTCCCACTAAGGGCATGTTTCTCAGTTGCAGTTTATCCCCGGCCCTGGTTGGGTGGTGTGGGTGGCAGCTACTCGATGTGTACCTTTCACATCAATGTTTCTATCTCTCTCTCTTCCTCTCTCCCTTTTACTCTACCTGAGCAAGAAATGGAAAAATGTCCTCGGGTAAGGATAAAAAAAAAAAATCAATAAAAAAAAATTAATAAAAAAAAAAGATAATCCCACAGGGCTCAGCGCTATATACAGTAACTGGAGAAGTGAAGAGGGAGCCCCATGGCCAGCCCTAACATCCCTTCCCTACCCTATGGGAGAGGCAATGGGATGAAGTTCTCCCCTCTCCTTGCTCCATTTACCCTGATTTCACAGATTGGCTAGGTGCATGAGCTCTGGAATCAGACAGCTTGGGTTCGAATTCAGCTCTTCCACTGAATGACGGTGTGACCTTGCACCCGTTATGTCACCCATTCGTTTTTTCCCCTTTAAGACAGTGGTAGAGAGATTACTAACTGCATATTTCAAAAGACTGCTCTGTGGTTGGGTGCAGACACATGCACAGTGCCTGGAGCCATGCCTGGCACCAAGGGCTCAATAATAGTGGCTGCAATGATTACTTTTACTTGAACTTGGTGTTGGTTTCCACCTGACTTTGCAGATAAATGATTTAATCCTGGGCCAGCACTTGTTAACATGGTCCTATTTATGGCCCTCACTGTGGGTGGGATAAACCACTTCCTCTGCATAGCAACCCCTCATCAAGTGTCCATCTCAATTACTGCCAGTTAGATCCCACCCCTCACACTCTAACTCCAAGGATCCAAGTAAGCCCATCTGGCCCACCTGTTGAATCTGATGAGCTCCTGCCTCAGGACGGTGTTCATGGATTCCTCGTAGACCACAGGGTACAAGTTCATAACCACTTCCATGTCAAAGTCACTGGGAAGCTTGGAGAGTATGTCCTGGGTCAGTTCCTTAATCACGTCCTTAAAGGGCAGAGGAGACATGAGTCAGAATGAGCCTGTGGTTGGTGCCTGTCTGGGTAAACCTGAAGCATCAGCATCCGTCTTTGTGAACAGTCTGCTGGACCTTCCTGGGAATGTTCCTACAGAAGCCAGTTCCGCTGGTGAAGGTTCGGGAGGACCAGGGGGACCATCCCCACACCAACCTTGGGGAGGACATCACCCTTTGGCCCAGAAAGTAAAAAGCTGAGCAGAGAACCCTGTTCTCACAGCTGGCGCAAGGCCCAGAGGGCCAGGCCGGACATGCCCGCTTGGCCTCGGTCAGGCAGCCTCAGGGCAGCCCTGAGCCCTGAGTGACTCCTGTTTGCACATGGCCCCAGGTGAGCCTCCCACAGCTGTCACAGCTGGTTGTTAGGACCCACTCCTGATTCGGATGGGACACTTGTTCAGGGCCAGTGACAGGGACAGCTGGGAAGGCAGCAGGCCACTCCTCAGACTGGTCACGAACGGCTCAGAGCAGTGGCCCTGCCAGCTGTGGAGAGACAGGCCGGAGCAGCAGCAGGACCTGGCGTGCGCTCCGCCTTCCTGCGGCTGTGCAAGGCTGCAGTGCACACTCCTTCCCGCTTCCCACTGTGAAGGGGATTTCCACCCCGAAACGGGGACACTGCAACCGGGCTGGCTGAGCTTCACAGCTATGACCACTTCTACCCTATGAACCATTCAGGAAGCCAAATACACGAAATCCACAGCTGAGCTGGGAAGGCACGAAAGGAAGGGGAGAGAGGGCCAGAGGGAGGCGCGTGCAGACGGGGTCACCTGCCCTCGTCTGTAGACTGAGGATGGTGACCTGACCACGACTCCAGGCGCTTCCAGGACATGAAGCAAATCACACTGAGCACACAGCGAGAAAGCCGTCCTCCTTTGGAGTGCCGGCCACCTTTCTCTTCATTCCCTCAAGGAGGAAGTTCGGGTCAGTGCTAACTACACACCTTGTGACACTTGCTGTGACACCCTGTGACATGAGCCCGACGAGGTCTCAGCAACATCATCTGGAAAGAACCTGGTTGCTGCTTAGTTTTCATTTTCTATTTTGTGGGTCCCATGACTTTATGGAGATGGGATGGAGTTTCCATTTATGGGACTGATGTGCGGTTTTTGAAGTAAATAATTTTGAGTCAAGTAGAATTATTTTTACATAGCATGTACAGGGGGTGTAGATAATATGTGGGGTCAGCAATGAATCCTGAACATTCTGTGGGAAGAGCTGGAGTCTGGAGACCCTACTGCTCTTCTGCATCCGAGGACTCGCAGCAGGAAGACAGGGCACTGTGCCCTCCTGCCGGGCTGCCAGGCCTCCACTTCTCTGCCTCCTTGCCCATCACCCACAGTCCTGTGCCCTCCAGGTGGAAAACTGCCTGGGGAATTTCATTCAAGCCAGGTTACCTGAGGGGACTTGCCGCTCCCTCCCGACTGTCTGGGGAGAGTCAGCAGCACCCCCTGGAACAGCTGGTTGGTTTCTTGGTTGTCCTTGGTGATGTCGGCGTTCTCATGGAGGCCAAACACTTCGGGGTGGGCTGTGATGGGGAGGTTCCTGATATATTCAATATAGGACTGGAAAGAAAATCTTCAGTTGGCATAAATGTAGGTTCCCTGGGGTCCCGCAGATCACTCAGGGCTTGGTCAGACCCAACCAGGGCAGGAATTACACTGAATGGGACACGACACACACACACACACACACACACACACACACACACGCAGGGTGAACATACCACAAGTGCTTCTACATTCTTTGACTTTGGAGCCAGACAGAGCTGGGTCTGGATCCTGTCCTGACACAGACTACCTGCGTGACACTGAGCTAGTCACCTGAAACCCGGTTTCCTTACCCATGGGGGGGGGGGAGATGAAGCTGTGAAGGACCCAGGCCTTGGCATAGGGCAGGGGCTACGTAACGGCAGCCCCCTCATCCGGCCTTCAGATGTCCTGTTTTCCCCTTTCCTGTCTCACCCTCCCAGCCAGTGTTTTGGTCCCTTCCCTCTGCCACCGTCTGAACCTTTTTTTCCAAGTAGCAATGTCCAGCCTGCTCACTACCAAGGCTTCACCTTAACTTCCCTCCTCTCCCCGAGAAGCCCCCCTATTTTGAAAGACCTTATCTACCAAATACTCAGTGTTCATTACACAGTAATAATGTCTCTCTCACAGGCTGTTTGAAATATTGGAAATAGCTTATGGACCCAAACCAGGAAGCTCAAGGCTCCCCTGGGCAGCCCTGGCTGCGAGGCAGCCCCTGGCCATGCAGACTGCTGGCTCCCCAGGGACAGGGGCCTCTCCCGCATGCCCCTCACCTGGTAGGAGCCATGAGGAGGGATGTAGTAGGTGTCTCCAGGGGCAACATGGTAGTGGTCCTGCTCGATATCCTTGGAGTAGAAGGTGGACAGAAGGGACAGCAGGAGACGCCTGTCCTTGTCATCAGTCACTCTGCCTCCATAATTACACTCCCCTGGAGACAATGGGCAGAGGAAGAGGTTGAGCCAGGAAATGTCATAATGAACTTGGTCATTGACCTAAACCAGAGGAGTCTTTGAGCCCAGGAGCTCGGCTGAGATTCAGGGCTGCTAAAACCATGCTCAGCTTGGGCTGAGACCAGGCCTATTTGGTATTATGGTTGCTATAAAAATAATCCATGCCCACCACATTAGAAATTAAAAAATAGAGATAATGGGGGAAAAAGCAAGCAATACAATCACTAATAATTGCACCAAACGTAACTATTGACATTTAGGTATCTTCCAAGTGTGTGTGTGTGTGCACATATATGTGAAAGACCACAAGAATGTGGTTCAGGTCCAGAACTTTGGCAGAGACAGTTCGGTTCCACTTCCACTCTGCCACTTTCCAGCCCATCTCTCGGTTCCAATCTCTGCCATTTAAGAGCCGCTTGTCATCTGCCAGAAGTGGAGACCCCTGTAGAGCCGTCCCACAGGCTGCGGTTAGCGCCTACAAAGCCTCTAGCAGAGAGGTCGGCACAGAGAGCAGGGTTACTTACAGCCGTCACAAACATACACTCAAGGAAGCTGAGAGGACCCTGTCTATGCTGCTCTGGGACATGACTCCCCGCGCCCCATGAACACTGTTCTCTGAGACTCGGGTTTCTGTACTCAGATTTCTACAAGAAGAATTAGCTCATTCTATTAAGGGGACATCAAGTGCACCTGGCCAACCCCAGGATACATTTTTAGCTGGTCCATATTCCACAGTATATGGTACCACCTGGTATTTGGTAGCTGTGGGCACATTCCAGTCTGTAAGGAGGAGACATGTATGTGTGTGCATGTATGTGTGTGTGTGTGTGTGTGTGTGTGTGTGTGCAGGGGCTCTCCTGAACAGTGGGATCATTTCCAATCCCAACTATTCTAGAATGATGCACGTCTACAGACAAGAAACAGGAAGCATGACCCGAGTTGGGGCAGAAGGCCTCTGCTGCTCTTGGCCCTGAGCTGGAGGACAATCCTGAGGGCCCATCAAGGGAGAAGTGAGGGAGTAAGGGAAAGTGCCTACGGCAAAGTCACCTGAGCCCTACAGAAGCCCTTTCATCTTGAGCCAGACCATCCAGATGCCTGAAACTCTCTCTGAGGACTTCTCAGGCCTTAGCCAATTTAGTTCAAACATCCAACATTCAGTGGCTTGTCCCAGCTGTAAGGAGGGTATGACAACAGCTGGAAGGAGAACATTGAAGGGAGAGTGCCCATGAAGTCCGCGTGGCCGTGCTTTGGGGCACCCAAAAGAGACCCAAGTGAAGGTAAATCTCAAGCACAGAGTTCTGGTGGAAGATCCTGTGACCACTCCCTCTGCAGCAAATTTTTCTGGCTTTTGTGTTTATGAAAAAAGGTGCATTTCCTTACGCTATATCTACATCTCCTCTCTGAAGCAAGAACACAAGTCCCTGTGGGGCCATGGTGTGCCTTATAACTCCCAAATTCTCACTGTTCCTGGGGCAGGGCTGGGGGCGGGGCCAGGTTGAAACCTCATTGGCTTCAGCCCATCTGATTGGATCACCTCTCTCCAAAGGAGACCTGTCCTTGCGTGAGTGTCAGTTCAGAGCTCCAATGAGCATCTGGATCTGTTCTTCCCTCAGCACAGGGGAAGGTTATACTTCCTGGGTGCTTGCAGTACAATGGGGCTGGGCAACAAGTTCTTGAGCATTTAATTCCTGGCATAAGCTCTTCAGTGCTTGCCCTGTGGCAGTGACCACACAAGTATATGTTGAGATGGTGGTGGCATAGAAGTTGGTGGAGCCTCGCCAGCTGTGCCCCTGACCTGATTGCAATGAGCAGCAAGTTTTGCCGATTCAGGCTGGACATGTAGATTGGGCAAGAAATGGACCTTTGATGCCTGACACCCTTGAGATGTGGGGACTGTTTGTTACGTCAGCCTAACTAGTCTGTGCTGACTACAAGTTGGAAAGTGACTATCCTCAGGCTGCTGGGGCACAGAGGAGAGTGGGCTTGTGAGCTGTAGGCGGTTCAGTACCACACTGCAGGGCAGGCAGTCACCATGCGTTCCATCCTGCAGTCGGCTCATGAACCCTGTGCTTCTGGAGAAGACCTTTCCACAAACTAGCACCCATGGGACTTATGCTGTGTGTCACTTGGGGTTTTGTGTCAGGGGACACTGTGCTGAGTGAAGGTCTGTGTGCCCTTCTGAGACTGAACTTGATCACTTGAAAGCAGGGCTTCTCAGCCTTGGCCCTGTGGGCAGGTTGCACGGGAGAGTTCTGTTTTGTGGGGCTGTACTGTGCATTGTAGGATGTAGAGCAGCTTCCCGGCATCCACCCTGTAGCAATCCCATTTAGTTGTGACAATGAAAAATGTCTCTAGACATTGCCCAATGTCCTCTGGGGGGCAAACTCACCCATGGTTAAGAATCACTGCTCTCAAGCCTCAGTCTCATCAGCTGTGAAATGAGTTACTAGCATAGAGCTTACAGATCATTGTGAGACTCAGTGCACTGATCTGCTGTGGATGAGAAACGGTTCTAGGTTCTACGGAATGCAGCCTCACAGGTGATGGGATCATAAATTCCTACCTGGGCAGGTCATGGTGGGTGGTCCTGCCCCAGGCCTCTAACTTCCGCAGTGAAAGGTCTACCTTTGCCTTAAACAAGCCCTGTCCATTGTCTCTGTGCACCCAGGTGAGCACACCTTTGAAATGCCTCTTTTCAGACCCCTCAAGTGAAACCACTCTCCAGATAGCACATAATCTGAACTGTCCTGTAATCCGACCCCACCTTGCTTTCTCCCCTGGGTACACTCTTCCCTAGCTCCCTCCATCCCAAATGCACAAAGGCAGCTGCACACTGACTTCCGGGAAGCATTTTCTGGTCTGTTGAGATTTCCTTTCTAGGCATATCCTCTGTTTGGCTCCAATACATTCTTACAAAGTCTCTCTGCAGCCCTGACCCATGTGGCTCAGTTGGTTGGAGCATTGTCCTGTGCACTGAAAGGTCATGGGTTCAATTCCTGGTAGGAGTGTGCAGGAGGCAACTAATCAATGTTTGTTTCTCACATGGATGTTTTTCTCTTTCTCTCTCTTTCCCTTCCTCTCGCTCAGTAAAAATATATCCTTGCCTGGCTGGTGTTGAGCATCGACCCATGCACCAGGAGGTCGCTGGTTTGGTTCCTGGTCGGGGCACATGCTCAGGTTGCGGGCCAAATCCCCAGTGGGGGGCTGCAGAAGGCGGCCAATTGATGTTCTCTCTCATTGATGTTTCTATCTCTCTCTCCCCTCCCTTCATCTCTCTCTAAAATCAATAAAGAAAAAATTATTCAAATATGTTTAAAAAATAAAAACAAAAAAACATATCCTTGGGTATGATTAAAAAGAAAACCTCTGCAGTTTGGACATCTGTATGTTGACAGTGTCTGTAAAGTACTTCCACTGACTTGGGAGAGGAGCCAGACAAACCCCTCAACACATGTTGCTGAGGAAGACACGTGTGTGGTCTCAAAGATACCGGGTTTTCCCGCGGGGCGGCGTGCTGGCCCGGGGCCATGCGTTCCACTCATGGAGCACACCCCTACCTACGCGTGAGGATACAGCCAAGCTGTACACACCTCCGCTGGTACAGGTGACTGGTGAGAGGCCGTGATAGGACGGCGCCGGTTGGATGGCGCCGGTTGGATGGCGCCGGCTGGGTGGCGCCGATTGGGTGGCGCCGATTGGAAGCGCCGGTTGGATGGCGCTGAGTGGGTGGCGCCGGCTGGGTGGCGCCGGCTGGGTGGCGCCGGGTGGATTGCCTTCATACAAAGCAGCGCGTTTCCACCGCAGGGTCCCTCTGCTGGGACCCTCTTCCCTCCCTGCTGCTGCCGACGCCCTTCCTTCTCCCACCCGCAGACTCAGCTCCCTCAAACCCCACCTTTCTGCCTTCGGAGGTTTCCCCGACCGGCTCCTGCCCCGCCCCAGGTTTGCTCCCCGGCTGCCTTTCTGCTTTATATGTGTTTCTCTTACTGAACGGATCACTGCATTGTCATTTGATACTTTTTCCCCCTGTGAACCATTTGAGGGTGGGAGTCATCGCTTAGCTTTCTTTCCTTTGGAAGACAGTGTTAGCATGGGGACAGCTTAGCGAGGGCTCGGAGTGCTGGGAGGACGCGTGAGGGACCAGGGAGCAGACGGCAGAGGCGCGGGAGGGAGGGCGCGGCGGCCGCAGCTGCCAAGGCTCCGCGAATACCTGTCAGGTAGGTCAGGGCGTCGAAAGGCACCTCCTTGTAGTCGTTCAGAAACATCTGGATCTGCCGCACGCTGATCCGCAGGTCCGACTCGTTGAACTCGTAGGGGATGTTCCAACCTGCGGTAGGCAGACGGTCAAGGCTTCAGGGCCCAGGCTCAGTGTCCACGCAGAGCTGAAGCGGGGGGAGTTCGACACCCGCATGGATCCAGAGCCTCTCAGCCACACGAACAGAAGCGAAGCACAAGGCCAGCTATGAGCCTTGCCAGGTACTGCCAACGTGTGATTGACAGGTACTGCCAACTGAGCCCCTCGGCCTGAGAAAACATCCCCTTTCAATTAGATTTGCGTCTGGGTCTCCTGTGTGTTAAGGAAGATGTTAGCATCCCGAGGTTTGCGGTTCAGCAGGGCTGGAACTATGGTAATACACAGGGCTCCAGAATGACACAGCTAGAGAGCAGCATTAGGACGGGGCCTCCGGCTGTCAGCTTGGAGAACTCGCCTCCTCGCTGGTGGGAGGACTTGAGGACTACTGCTTATATTGCCAAGGGTGTAATGAATGATAAACACCCAGGGGCTGGACAAGTGACATAAGTGTGTGAACTGAGCTTGATGTAAGAAAGCAGGGTTTGATGGGACCTGTGTTCCATGGAGACGGTTCATCTCCTCCTATACATTCACATTCAAATTAAAAATAACAATAATACAATTTGTGCTCTGGCCAAAAGAACACAATGGGGCAGTTGGTTGCAAGCCGAGCTGCTGCGTGGATTTTCGGAGGTTGGGCATGGGGGGTAGGGGGGAGAAGATGGGTGTGAAAGGCAGGTCTCTGCAGCAGAAGCATCCTGGAAGCATCTTGTCCCTGCTCCCCCCATGGAAGGGCCCAGTGTCTGTGCAGGTAACTGGGCGGGGCATGCAGGTAGGGTGAAAGGAAGAGGATGCTCAGAGAGAACCAGAGGGTGGTCTGCCTCCCTATCTGGAAGGATGGCTGAGAACACTTGAGGCAGCCATTTAAGGTTGTTGAACAGGATCGAGGGTGCAGACCTGAAGACCACGGGGACATGGAATTTGTTTTCAGCAGTTGGATGGTCTGCTCTAACACAAGTGTTCAGTTAAGGTAGGCCAGTGATTGGTATACTAATAAAAATTTTATTTTTGCCCTGGCCGGTTTGGGTCAGCGGTTAGAGCATCAGCCTGTGGTCCAGAGAGGCCTGGGTTCGGTTCCCGCTAAGGGCATATACCTCGGTTGCAGTTTGTCCCCGGCCCTGGTTGGTCGTGCAGGTGGCAGCCACTCGATGTGTCCCTTTCACATCGATGTTTCTCTCTCTCTTTCTCTCTTACTCTCTCTCCCTCCTGCTCTACCTGAACAAAAAATGGAAAAATGTCCTTGGGTAAGGATAAAAAAAAATTATTTTTACTTTTTCAAGAAGCAGCACAGACAATACGTCCCAGCTATATTTTTTTCATTGTTAGGCACATGTAAAGAGAGTTGCCTAAATGTTATACATTACCTGATGGCAACTCTATGGAGAATGGCCACGGTGCCTAACCACAGGGAAGGCCTACAACTTTCTCATTATGACATTACTTCAGTAATTAGGGGCCCTCTGGTTTGGGGAGCAACACCTCTTCTTTACATTGACCTGGTTATAGGGCTGCCAGATTTATTAAATAAAAATACAGGACGCTCAGTAAAATTATAATTTCAGATAAACAACAAGTCATGTTTAGTATAAGTATGTCCCAAAGAGCACATGGAACACACTTCTACCTTGTTTCACTGGCAACCCCTCCGAGTGTGAGCCGAGTCACATGGGCACCTGTCCATGGCCTTTCCCGGCGCGCCACCTACCTAGGGGTCCAAAGTTCCGCCTCTCTTGGACCACGGCATGGAAGAAGCACAGGCCAAACAGCAGCTTTTGCCATATCTCTGCCTTTGTGCAGCTTTGGAAGAACACGGGGTCCGAGATGGGGTCATTGAGGTAGGAGCGCAGCAGGTTGGCCCGCAACCCTTTTGGAGGCTCGTTGGTCATTTTGATCCCATTCTGGAGGATGCTGACTGGAAACTTCTCTGAGGGGTAGCTGGTCAGCCAGAGCCTGGAAGGACAACAGATCCGGCTACTCAGAGCAATGTGATAACTTCAACTGAGAAAACAATGACACAAAATAATAGCGACCACTCATTAAGCATTGCTGAACACTGAACCCCATGCTAAGAACCGAATGTGTCTCTTCATTGACTCCTGCCCTCCCAGCTACCCTCTGTGGGGGGTTTGCCACCCCCTCTTACCAGTGAGGGAATGGAGGCTTGGAGATGCCAAGTGTCTGTTTCAAGTGCACAACACTTAGCAGCAGCTGAACTGAGAGGTGGACTCAGGGCCCCCTGACTTTGAACCGCGGTCTTAATCCCCATGACCCAGGCCCTCCTGCTGGACTGGTTGAGCCCTATACCCTGCACCTCAGGAGAGGCAGCTTCCAGATGCTCACAGCCTTGCCCTTGGGGAGGACAGGGGGTGACAGGGGAGAAAAGACAGACAGAATGCGGTAGCACAAGGCACTGTGAAACCAGGACCACAGTGAGGAAGGGAAATACTGTCCATGGGAAGAAGAGGTTTGTACTAGGGAGAGAAGCCTGCAAACTACGGCCTGGGAGCTGAACCCAGCGTGGCCTGTTTTTGTAAATAAAGTTTTATTGGAACCTGGCTATGCCTTTCATTTGCATATTACTTATGGCAGCTTTCATGCAGAGTTGACTGGTTGTAACAGACAATATGGCCAACAAAGTCTGAAATATTTACTGTCTGGCTCTAGAGAGAAGGCTTGCTGACCCCTGTCATGGAGGAAATAGCATTTGAAATGGGCCCTGAAGATAGGGAAAGTTTCTTCCTTTAACACAGAAAAGCTTATCTATGCCATGAAAAATGGGAACACATGTAAAAGTATGTAGAAGGAAAATTATAATTTTACCACATGGAGGCTAACATTTTGGCATATTGTCTTCTAGGCCTTTATTCATTTGTTTTTCCTACCCAAGCTCAAGTTACACACACACCGTGGCATCTCGTTTTGTTCCATTTTTCAGGGTTTTGCTGGTGTCTTTTGCTAGTCATTAGAGAGGTTCCCAACAGGTGTATTTGGGGATGGAGGATCATTAAAACACAGGACACAGGCTGAGCAGCCACGAAGGAGAGAAAGTGGGATGCGGGGAGGCTTGGTGGGCAGCCACTGTGGTCCAGGCACAGGACTGAGCGAGGAGGGAGAGGCTGTAAACAGGTGTCCTGAGGCCTGACTAGTCTTCAGATGGGTGATGTTTAGTTGACACCATGAAAATGAACAAAGAGCTGTAACATATTTTTTAAGTAGTTGCCAACTTTTAAAAATCTAGGTCTTTTTTTAAACTTCTAGATTTCTATAGTCCCTTTACAATAACCAGAACATCTGATCACAAGAGGCCTGCCTTCCTGCATAGCCACAGTCATCTGGATTCAGGCAGGAACTGCTCTTCTGTACAGGCCACTGCTTCCAATTCCATGTAGTCCCCACCACTCCCCATGGGTCCAACACTGAGCTCACTGCCCAAGAGGACTGCTACTGTACTGTGCAAAGTGGAATATTTAAAAAAAATTTTTTTTTCTTTTTTCTTTTTTTTTTTTTATCCTCACCCGAGAACATTTTTTTCCGCTTTTTGCACAGATAGAGTGGGAGGGAGAGAGAAAGAGAGAGAAACATCGACGTGAAAGGGACACATTGAGTGGCTGCCACCCGCACGACCAACCAGGGCCGGGGACAAACTGCAACCGAGGTACATGCCCTTAGCGGGAACTGAACCCGGGTCTCTCCAGACCACAGGCCGATGCTCTAACTGCTGAGCCAAACCGGCCAGGGCAAATTTTTTTTCTTTATTGATTTTAGAGAGAGTAAGGGAGAAGGAGAGAGAGAGAAAGAAACATTGATGAGAGAGAACATCAATTGGCAACCTTCTGCATGATCCCCATTGGGGATTTGGCCCACAACCTGGGCATGTGCCCTGACCAGGAATTGAACCAGCGAACTATTAGTGCATGGGTCGATGCTCAGCCACTGAGCCACTTAAGCCGGGCAGAATATTTCTTGTGCTTAGTCCTCTTCACTCATTTAGGTTACATTCCTGGCTCCTGTAGGCACTTGAGTTCATGACTTTGGGGTAAGGGACATATTATTATTAAGGACCTTAAATATCAGCATGAATAATTTTTTACTGGATGTGAAAATGGAGGCGGAGTGAATGGAAGCTACACAGATGATCTCCCAGGACCAAATGAAAATTACAAGTAAAATAAAGACAAATCCTCAGAAAAAAGCAACAGAAAAGCAGCAGGACAGGACCATATAACTAGGGACACTGGTAGATCTGTGGAGGCACGAGAGGGTGGTGGGCTGGGAGCCCACGGACAGCAGCAGTCTAAGCTGTGAGCAGGGCCCTTGGAGAATAAAGACCAAGCCCGCTCCACAGCGCAGAGAGCCAGGACAGAACCCTAAAATAGCCACAGCCACTCACCTGGGGGCTACGGCAGAGGGAGGGCAGACTGGGCTGGAACTCTGTGGGGACAACCGAGATTTGGAGGGCACTCAGAGTTTTTGCTGAGTTGCGGCCACAAAGAATGGTGGCCAGTGTGCTCATTCCATAAGCTGTGGGGAAAAACAGCAGCCCCACCCTTTGGAGATTCAGCCTTTTCCAGGTGAGGCAAAGAAATGCATATTGAGGCTCATTAACATCCAGCATCTATCCCACCCTCTGGAAATCCCCTTATGCAGAACACCAGGGCTACATTCCAAGACACTGAGTAACTGAGACTACTAGCCTCCAGGAAGAAGCTAGAGGATAACTGAACCTTTCCTGGGCTTGCAAATCTACCCAGGAAAGTAAGACTTGACAGTGGTGTTTAACATGGGCCCACCCAGGCTCATCCAAACCCAGTAGAGGGAGCCACAAACAGCAGAACACCAATACCCACAGGGAAAATTTGGCAGGCTCCAAAACCCACTGAGACAGCCCAAATGGTGAAACAAAGAAACAAATCCCAAATGAAAGAACAAGAGAACACTATTGAAGATGAGATCAATGAAATGCAGTTAAGCAAATTATCAGAGGTAGAGTTCAGAGCCATGATCTTGAGGAAGCTCAGCAGCATGAGTAAAGACATCAGCACCATGAGTAAAGATATAGAAACATTGAAAACCAACCAAGTAGAAACGAAGACTGACATAGCAGAAATAAAGAACACATTAGAAGGACAAACCAGCAGAGTAGAGGAAGCTGAGGACCGGATTAATGAATTAGAAGATAGGATAGGAAAAAATCAACCAATCAGAAAACCAAAAGGAAAAAACAATTAAAACACAGGAAGATAGCTTACAAGAACAGTGGGACAACTGAAAACGTATTAAAATTTGCATCATAGGAGTCCCTGAAGAGGAAAAAAATGGGCAAGGGTTAGAGGATATATTTGAAGAATTAGTGACAGAAAACTTTCCTAACTTGGTAAAGGAAGAAGGCATTCAAGTTCAAGAAGCACAGAGAGCCCCAGGTAAGAAGAACTCAAATAGGCCCACACCAAGACACATAGTAATTAAAATGCCAAAAATTAAAGACAGAGAGAACCCTAAAGGCAGCAAGAGATAAGCAACAGGTTACCTACAAAGGAAACCCCGTCAGGCTCTCAGCTGACTTCTCACAAGAAACACTACAGGCCAGAAGGGAGTAGCATGAAATAATCAAGATCATGAAAAACAAGGATCTGAATCCAAGACAACTCTATCCACCAAGGCTATCATTCAAAATAGAAGGTCAAATAAAGAGCTTTCTAGACAAAAAAAAAAAAAAAAAAGGCTAAGGGAATATATTAACACCAAACTAGCACTACAAGATATGCTAAAAGGATTGCTGTAATTAGTAGAAGAAATAGGAAGAAAAATAGAACCACACCAAACAAAAAAGACAAGAAATAAGTACATATCAATTATCACCTTAAATATGAATCATTTGAATGCTCTGATAAAAAGACACAGAGTAGCTGACTGGATGAGAAAGCACGACTCATCTATATGTTGTTTACAAGACCCATCTCACAACAAACGACTCACATAGGTTGAAAGTGAAGGGATGGAAAAAAATCTTTCAAGCAAACAGAAAGCAAAAAAAAAAAAAGCTGGGATAGCAATACTCATATCTGATAAAGTAGATTTCAAAATGAAGACCATAACTAGAGACAAAGAACATCACTACATAATATTGAAAGGATCTATCCAACAGGAAGATACAACCTTGGTAAACATATATGCACCCAATATAGGAGCACCAAAATATATTAAAAATCTGGAGGACTTCAAAGGAGTAGTTAACATCAATACAATCATAGCAGGGGACTTCAACACCCCACTGACATCACTGGATAGATCATCTAGACAAAAAATTAACAAGGAAACACAGACTCTAAATGAATTGCTAGACCAAATAGATTTAATAGATATCTACAGAGAATTACACCCCCAAACTGCAGAATTCACATTCTTCTCAAGTGCACATGGGATATTCTCAAACATAGACCACATGTTAGGGCACAAACTAAGTCTCTGCAAGTTCAAGAAGACTGAAATCATATCAAGCATCTTCTCAGATCACAATGGCATGAAACTAGAAATCAATTGCAACAAGAACATGCAGAGACATTTGAAAACATGGACGCTAAATAGCATGTTATTGAACAATGAATGGGTTACCATGGAGATCAAGGAAGAAATTAAAAACTTCCTGGAAACCAATGAAAATGAACACACATCAACACGAAGTCTATGGGATGCAGTGAAAGTAATTCTGAGAGGGAAGTTCATAGCACTAAGGCCTACCTCAAGAAGCAAGAAAAATATTTAATAGAGTATCTAACCTCAATACGTAAGGAATTAGAAAGCAAACAAAAAGAAAGCCCCAGAGCAAGTAGAAGGAAGGAAACAGTAAAGATCAGAGCAGAAATAAATGACATGGAGATGAAAAAACAATTCAAAGGATCAATGAAACAAAGAGCTGGTTCTTTGAAAAGATAAACAAGATTGATGGACCA